CTTTACCCTACTTCGTGGGCACTGCCATCATTTAATGTTCATGAAGTAATCGCTCCAGTAATAATCCTCTTTCCCCCCTTTATTCTATCATTAATAAATATTTCTAATTATCATACTTATCAAACTCCATTACCTACAAGTTGCTCGCTCTCTAAGTATGTCAGCTTGTACATAAACACATAAAGCTGTTTTGATTCTTAAGACTATCAAGCAAATTGTACTTTGTGTGTCATTTTCAAAAAAGAAGCCTAGAAACAAAGGCAACTAATTTTCTTTGAGGAAAACTCAAAAACCAAAAACTCATCAGCTTGCTCTTGAATAAGCTCAATGACATTCAGATTCAAGAAAATAAGTCATGCATCAATTACATCATCTTGTTTTTCCACAAATATTTGAAAATAAACTAAAAAGTGCCTAAAAAGCCTTGCCAATCTGTTATTCCATGTCTGACATGTTTGAAGAGAGTTTTCCCCATGTTAACAAAATCAAACACAAGAGACTATCAAGCACTCTAGCAAGCACATCTTCGCAACAAAGCTCCTCACAGTGATAAATTGTTCCCTTAGCTCTCTCAACCTGGGGTGTTAGCAAGGTGTCACACAGTGGGGTGGAGCTTGCTCAGTAGCTGTCACATGCTCAGACTATTCCTGATTGTAGCACACAGACAATTGTTACTACAGGTGCATGTTGAGTTTATAGCACAGTTTTGTTTGTTACTACCTTTATGAAACCACAAAGTAATTGCCACCCACTGGGACCACAACAGACAGACAGCCTTAACGCACTGTAGCATGAACAATGTCTAGTTGACTCATTGGTCTGGAAGTTGAGACTTGCAAATTAGTGAAAATCTCTACCATTCAATAACAAACATTAATTCTACTACTAAATGGCAAAAACCCAACAGATACCCTTCAATAAGCTACCATATATAACCATAGATAAGTTGAATTTTGAAGACCAAAAAGCAGCCTGTAGAATGGGGTCGGCTTATCTACAGGTAACACTTTCGTCAACCTTTTTTTCTGGTGACCAGTAAAAAAACTACATTGTATTGTTTCGTGTGAACGTACAAGAAAAAACAACTTTAACTTTGTCAGTGAAGACATCAACTTTGCAATGAAACATCACTAGACAAGCTTATTTACCTTTTCAGTTCTAATTTGTTTTTGCTTGGCATTGTATCATATGCAGGGATTAAGATTACTGTGTGTATTTGTCTCTTTTATATAGAGCCGGAAGTAGCAATCAGCTGTGCACATGTTTCCCGGCTTATCTATGAGATCAGTTTATCTACGGTAATATACGGTACCTAAGCAATATGACTGCTAACATTCTGGTATTTACCTGTCACCTGTGATTAGAGGGAGATATACAGCAGTAACCAATACAGCAATAAATAGCTGGTAAACAATTAAAGTTACATATGATCTGAGTGCTTCACATGGAATTGCTCCTCTGCATGAGACAGCATTAAAATAGCTACCATTTTTCAAATGTTTCTGATACTTTTGAAAATATCATAATTTTGAAATACAACAAGAGAAACCATTTTTCAATGAAAAACAATGAAACCTCAGTTATTTCTAATGAGTAAGTGAGTGGGTACAGTCAGAGACCATATACCGGTATATGGTCTCTGGTACAGTTTAACACCACTTTTAGCAATATTCCAGCAATATCATCACGGATATTTCAAATGAAATAAATGCAAAACCATGACAAGAGCCATCATAGTATCCTGACGTTGACAGCCGACTGAGTCACACTGGGTCTGTTATCACAGCCAACACAAATTCCACCACAATACCCAGACAATTCTAGAAAGACAGGACAAAAAGAGGCTTCACCCTAAACCAGCAAAGTCCCCTTAAGACTAATATTAACTTGGATCCATTCAGACCCAGAAGCTTCATCACTGATACCGTACTTGACATATTCTCGTCTCTGGTTCTCATAGAAACAAATGCAGGAAAAATTTGAATACCAAAATGAAATATGGTGGGTCTTGTTTTTGATGTCATGTGCAGCGCCCTGTCATGAATTTACATTTATCACTGGCATGAAGTGTTTAAAGATGATTCTTCAGCCATCAAACACAAAATACAGTAAAAATAATATAGGGATGGTTCTGAGGAGGTTTCGTTACCATTTTCAGCAAGAGGCACACTAAATTAACCTTTAGTTTCATGCTTCATTTTGAATACTGTCAAAAACTCACATGCTCTGGATCAAACGTGTGTCCTTTGCCAGATATACAGTAAAATAGCAATGATGACTTTAAGTAAACATGCTTACCTTATGATACTTAGTTTTTTTAAAATAAATTATAGTGAATCTAAAGAAAATAACCCATTCAGCAAAAGATAAAAAGACAAATTTGATATATTTTCAAGGTAAACATGTACATGCATGGAAGTGCAAACTACATTAAACTGATTCATAGTGAAAATCATAATGCTTGGAAAACCGTTTTCACATTCTTTTACTGATGTTAAGGTCATAAACATCTCATTCATGATTTCATGGAGGAACGAATTTTTTTTTTTAAAAATGCTAATAATATTGACTGACTGAGTGAGTTTGGTTTTACGCCGCTTTTAGCAATATTCCAGCAACATCACGGTGGGGGACACCAGAAATTGGCTTCACACATTGTACCCATGTGGGGATTCGAACCCGGGTCTTCGGCGTGACAAGTCAACACTTTAACCTCTAGGCTACCCCACCGCCCCGCTACAATATTGATGTGTGACGCCTAATCCGGTTCTCCACATAACAAATAAAACATTACTACAGAGATGGAAATTATCCACATACACTTGATAGTAGTAATTAGGGTGTACACTTTGAGATGAACATGTTCCATATGCTATCCTCTTGATAGCTGAAACAGGAAAAGGACGCTTAATGCACCAAATATGGTACATCAACTGTTGTAGAAGTGAAGCTATATAACCCTCTGTCAGCATGTCTCCAAGCCCGCCCTGGAGGGAGGCAATCTACAGTAACTATGTTAAATCAAACAATGTGTCCGCCACAGAAACACCCTAATGTAATTAGCCGTGATAATTAGCAGGGAGGGAAGTAGTATCAGTATTGTGTTATCAGCTGGGGCCAGTCTTCCTGCTGAGTTGACAGATCCTGATAGGGTAAATAAATAAAAGATAGGAATGTATGGTGATGATGCTGGAGAGTCCTCCTATGAAGGGATGGTTGGCACTAATTGCATCTTTAATGTTCCAGAACCTCAGGGGCAGACCAGTCATCAAAGGTACTGCAACTCACTGTTACAGAGTTGCTTCTCTTTGGCATGGGTTTGAATCCCAGTTTGGTTCACTCAATTTGGAAACATCATTTCTGTGTCTGTGAGTGTGATATAAGTTAAAATCTGTTAAATGCATCATTCAACCAAACTCACTTACTCAAATATGTGAGAAAAATATTGATATTTAAGAAATACAGTTCGCTCTAACACCATGTATAGTGTAATAAAGCACACTTTTGCCCTGAACTATTATAGTTAAAGCACGAGGACGCTTGCGTCCGAGTGCTATAATGTTATAATAGTTCAGGGCGAATGTTATATAAGCACATTTGGTATAAACACAGTTAGGGCTGGGATGGGTAACCCAGATACCCGGGACAGACGGGTAATGAGTTCGACCAAGGTACCGGTCTCAATACCCGGACCTGTTATGATCATGTGACTAATAGATAAACAATGCAATATGTTTCTTTCATCTTTCATGATTAAAAGATTGTATTGTCTTTGAAGATTTAGACATATAATGCAGTCACCTGTTTTGAATATAATTCATGGTTAAGATATCGAAAACTCGAAACTGTAGCCTCCTAGATGAAGAATATGTTGCCATTTCTTACAAATTTGATGTTAGGAATTAACATAACGGGTATCTGGGTGGGGTTAGTGTAGTGTAGGATAGTTGGGGGTGGAGTGCCCGTGTAGAAAATTTGGACCCGTCCGAGCCTGAATCACAGTTTACTGTACATAACAGCCATGGAATAGTCATCTCTTATGACTTAAAACTCTGGGTACAGATTCTATCCAGGTCCCTATGGAAATTGGGAAATTGGCATACACTCACAGCCATGAACATGTGATGTCAAAGAAAAATAATTATTCTGAAACACAAGGCTACTGAAAACATCCTGGCTAACATTGCTTTGCAAGATAGAGAAGTTGTCCGGTTTTATGACCCAATGAAACACACATTAATAGAGGGAAATGGTTTTTTTATATGAATGTCATAGAAGGTAACGTAAAATAATCATCTTGCCCAAATAACTAACTCTCATTTATTTTCTTTAATAATTTGAATAGGTGACAGTCTGACTGATGATCACTCCACATCAGAGT